ATATATAATGCCAGCATACAAAAGTCTTTGAAATTTAATACTGAACAAATATATCGGACATTTATTACATGTCCTTCTCTAAATGTAGCGTATCAGTTAGATAAGTGACTTTGAAGAGCCTCGAAAAATGCGTTTTCTCTGACGGCCGATTTACCGTCCATGCCATCACGCGGACACCACGTTCGCACCATCGTTCTATTACGCGTCTGAAATAAAATTATATCACAATTATGTATTATTCGTTCTTACGAATATATACATATAAAATCGTTAAGTATTCGATTTGAATAACGCTACATACGGATTGACTATGTCCTTGTGCAATAGTATAGCAGAAATGCCAACGATATAATAAACGAAGCGAGATAATAACCACTCGTACAAAATCTCCAAGATGCAAGCTGCCAAATGCTTAAATGGATTATGAAATCGTGCCGCACCAGGCGTTTCCAGACCGGCATACGATAATCTCGAAAAAAAATACGGCCTCCAAGCAAGACTCGAGACAATACGTGGCTCTTTTTTTCGAATCTGAACGTAAAATTAAGAGTATATTTACAATTGGAAGATATTTCCTTTAGGAATATAAATTATTAGTGTTTGAATATATATAAAATTTCCACATGTACCATGTATACTATGATTGGATTGAAACTTGACACGACACCTCTTTCAAATAACTTTGGATATTTTTTGTATGCATCTAGAACAACTTGCACAACATCCGTCCTTGTTTCTTTTATGTCTATAATTACTCTCTGCTCGCTGTTCAGACATTCTTGCAGCGCATCGTCTAACAGCGCGATTCTCTCGCCTTCAGAAAACTTGTTCCTTTGTGATAAAATATATATTTTTTTTCTATTAAAATACACACACACACACTCAGATATATAATACATTTACTATAAAGTGCATTTTATTTATAAACTATATAATTATATATAAATTTTAATTAGATTGAAAAAAAATATATGTATACATACACAATTATACCTATGTAAATAGATAATTTATAAAATTATATAATCATACCTAAGTGGATGATTATAAGTTATATCTATCTCTCTTAGTTCCTCCCACGTCATCTCACTAATTGTTCCTGTTTGGCCTGTAAGTCTTTCAATTGTTGGGTCATGGAATAATATTGGAATGTTATCTTTTGTTAGTCTTAAATCAAGCTCTACAGCACTGCAGCCCTTTCCCTTGCTCTGTAAAAAGTACAGATAATGTATAAATATTTCTATTAAACAATTAAAAATACAATGGAAATATTTAATGATTAAATAGGATGATTAAAGTATTAATGTTTTATATTGATAAATAACATT